GTGTGAAGCATACATGAGGTGGTGCATATTTGTGATAAGATATTCTGGTGGAAATATTATTATATTATTTAAAAACTTATACCTTCATGGTTAAGAAATCATGAATTTTATAATGAAAAACTCACCGCCTAAATTACCTTTATTGGTTAAAACTTTCACCGTCAAAGAGTTTTATTTTAATAAAACCATCACCGCCTTGTTAGAAAAATATATAAAGAAGGAAAAAGATAAGATCATACCTTATCTTGATTTTTGGAGAAAGAAACCTTTTTGAGAAAAAGAAAGTGTGTGGCAGTGAAAGAATTCTTGAGAAAGATTAATACACAAAAGTGATTTGAAGATTCTGTGCTAATTAAAGATCTACTGTGTGTTTATAATCTGCAGAACCTATGATTATTAAAGTGAGTTTTTGATGATTAAAACTTTTATATATATTGTTATATAAACTACTGGGTCTTTATGTTGGTTTTGAAGAAAAGATAGTAAAAACTATTTTGATAGTTTAAAGGTGTTATTGTTATATATTTGAGTATTAAAAACTGTATTGGGAAAGATAAAGAAGGGATTGCTTCTTTAAAACAATTTTGGAAATGATATCCTGTTTTGAGGATTTAAAAAGGGATATGATGTTTTTGGAAACCATTGAAAGAATAGATTGTTCTTGAGTTTGAAAGGTTTTAATGATAAAACTGTTGGTTGAAAACTATAGAGAATATTCTTTTGATCTGTCTTCATTTGGAATTAATCTATAGATTTTATGGATAATACTATGAATGAGGATTCGATAAGATAGTTGTGATTGCGGTCCTTCATCTGAACTAGTTCATAGATTTTGAAGAAGGAATAAGGGTGGCATATCAAGGAGATATGTCTTTTGGAATAAGGGTGACATATCAAGGAGAGGGGTCTTTTGGAATAAGGGTGGCATATCAAGGAGAGGTGTACCTTTGGATATAAGGGTGAGAATTATGTGTGAATATTATAGCTCTTATTGTTATGTCTTTTAAGAYTACWATAGATTTGAGTCCTTACTTCTTTGTGATTTGAGAACTCAAAGATATTGTTCTTATTAGAAATAATAGTATTGATGTTATTGAGAGGGGGAAAACTTGGCCTATGGCCATTGATATTGGTTAAAAGTGTTTAGGAACAGAATGGTCATTTTTATGAGGAATCAGAGGGGCTCTGGTTGTTCCTTGTAAGGAACCAGAGGGGCTCTGGTTGGTCCTCATTATTGGACCAGATGATTCTGGTTATTGATTTAAAGAATGAGCAAGTTTTTACTAAATGTACTAATTGGATCAGAGACTCTGTATCTATTGATAAGAGCTTCTATGTCAAAATCATATTTTTAAAAGTTTTTAAGAAAAGGATTATATACTTAGAATCTTTTTATGAAAAACAGACCAGAGAGGCTCTGGTTGGCTTACACATTAAACCAGAGAGGCTCTGGTTGATCATGTCTTTTGAACCAGAAGCTCTGGTTAGTACAACTAGAGGCTCTGGTCGAGGAACCAAAAGCTCTGGAAGAGAGGCCAAAGGGGCTCTGGTCCTAGTTATTGAAATATATTCCAAGTGTGGTTTGGAACCAGAGGCTCGATGGACCAAAACAGTATGATTTTAGTTTTGCTACATAAGATGAATTATTTGAAATAAATGTTTTGGTGATCTTCACCCTGCATTACATAAAAAGGGAACCTCACTAGACATTCATGTCAAACCCTCATTTCGTGTTTTCAAAAATATGTGTGTAGGTAAAGATAATAAGGGAAAGAGCATTATGTGAATTATTTCCCTATGTGCTTAGCTGTTTTGGAAGCATAGATGCTAGGATGCAAGAACATGTACTTTTGAAATTTTTGGGTTGCGTATTTTACATTATAGACTCTTGTATCAAGGACCTATGTGGGGGAAAACATGTATTCTATATATGAAATATGTGTTATATGCAATGTATGGATTTAGGGGTGTTACATAGGTAAATGTATTTTTTTGTATTATGAAAAATTTAATAAGATGTTTTTATCATGTTTGCTTTACACGTAGAAGGCATGTAAATTTTATGCATGTTAAGCATAACCATGAAAAGAAATACATTTAAATTTACTTTACATAAAGGACTTGATAGTATCAAAAGAATGCAAGCACAACCATCAGGATTAGGGCATTACACAACCCATATAAAAGATGAAGAGCCGTAGTGAACAATTCTAGTAGATAACTTGTTTATCATTTATAGTGAAACCACATTTTTTATAATTAATTTTTATTTTATATTTGCAACTAATTTGATGCTGCAACTAAAAATATTCCAGAATCCGGGTCCTTTGTTGCCCATCATCGTCAATCTATCACCATGGCATAAGTTGTTTATGGCCTTAGTGTCACATATAACACACAAGAACTAGGTACAAACAATTATTAATATATATAGTATAAAGTAAAATGTCTCGCTAAATACACTATTAAGATACCTGGAGATAGAGGCGGAACCCCATGGGGGCCATGGTGGCCTCCTCTCTTTTTTACACAAATAGAGTTCATGAACTATGTAAAACATATGGTGTTGACAGCTCAATTGGTTATTATTTTATGACCATATCTTTGAGGTCACGGTCTCAAATCCCATATGTTGCATTTTTCCTTCCATTCCATGAACTACACATTAAATTATTAATGTAAATTATATATAAGAATTAGTTTTTAAATAATATAAAAAATAATGATTAATTTTGTATGTAGTGTTATATTATTAATCTAAAGGTTTTGTTTTTATTTGTTCATAATAGTATAAAAAACATAACAAAATTGTATTAATATTTTTAAGGTTTTGAGTTTTAGAGGTCCTTTATCCAAACATTTATCTGATAAATACTTACCGGTAAGATTTGACACTATCATTCATCTTGCTGGTTAAAATTTGTGCTCTATCAAAATGACATCATATGCAACAATTTACCCACTAAACACTAGCCGGTAAGATTCTTGAGCCTTACGTGTAAGATTCTCGATTCTTATTATGTTCATCCGGTAAGGCAATATGACTGGTTAGAACTTGATAAACGACTCCTTAATCTTCCCTAGACAAATTTTCTCTAAAATTTAATATTAGATCATAGGAAAAAGAGCAAAAACAATTGTGTGCGTATCATTGGATCTCTAAATTTTTGTACTATTATATTTCGGTCCCCCGAACTGCAACGGTCGTATTCCGCCCCTGTCTGGAGATCCCAAAAGAACCATTTTATTGTAGTGTAATAAACTCCTGTTGTGAGATAGTAGTATATACATAACTGAAAGAAATCTCTATTGACTCCAAGTGATTGATTGGAAATTTGGAATATGTCATTGTATTAAGAAAATATTGGATCATACTAATGCTATGTGATGATAAAAGTGCCCAAGTACAACACATGATCTGATTCAAAGTCGACCATTTTCGACCCCTTGTGGTAACATCAATATACAACCACATATATACCCGAATTTTACTTAAACAGGTGATGGCGGCAAGTCCAATAACAGCCAAAACCCGACGCAATTATCCGAATCCAATGTATCTTGGATTGCTAAGAAATGCAAACCTCCGCTGGCCTTCTTTGCTGCTTCCCAAGCTTCAGCCTCGGATGTAGTCACCGATGATTTCTTATACGAGGCATAAACATAACAGGTGGAAATCCCGACAGATAGAACCAGGTTAGCACGAGCTAAGTCAGCTTCAACCGAACAGACTTCTAACCCGTTCATCCAAGCTGCAGGAACAATTAATTTCTGTCGTCTTTTAGATTACAGTACGATGTATCGCAAAGTCAAATCACTGTGTTTTCTGAAACCAAACCAAACAAGACCAGCATATCCCATCTAGAGGTGGGGTCTAGGGGGTATGATCATGTTTAGGCATACTTGAACTCTACTCCAAAAAGTAGAGCGGTTGTTTCCGTGCAGACCCCCTTGTTTTTCTGTTTTTTCATTAACAATGGGTGTCCAGGCTCACTTGAGCACACCTCGACTAATCCCATGGGACCCTAGAGAATAGCAAGGAAAATCCCAATGGCCTTAGAGGGACTTGAAGAGGAGACCTCTCCGGAGGAGCCCCAAATGCCAAAGCCTTATTGCCAATTAAGCTAATTCGTAAGGTTCAGACCCTCTACTTGTGAAAACTGCATGGCATAATCAACATGTTTCAAGCTGTTTCCAGTTTAGAAGCAGTGCCTGGACATGCTGATTGGCTTATGGGAATTTGACTTTGATCCCGGAGGTCAAACGAAGTTTCAAATTCAGAATCAATATGGATGTTGCTATACAGTTAACACCATTGTTTTGTTCTTTTTTGAATATTGTTAATAGAGTATACTGTAATCATAATCTTTCTAAGAATTTCAAGGGACATGTACCCGATTGAAGTCAAAATGTAATTTGGTTGACCTCAAAAGTCAAAATGCAGACCTTTTAGCAATGGAAGCAGTAGCTACCTTGCTGTGAATTATGTACACACCTGCCAATGGCCTAGCACGTGAAGATGCCACAGCCAGTCCAGGAATCAACGTCTCGTCATCCATTTCGATCCCCAATAGATCCAAATCCAAAGTTGCACCGAAGGCAAATGATTTTTCTTGTGATAATAGCTCCCTTTTAACGTCTGAAAAGTTGAAAGATCCATCAATACCATTTACATTTGAGAGTTCCATATATTTTTTTTATAGTAATTTTAAATCAAGTAAAATTTAACATGTGACCGTATATACTTCTCAAACACAAGAAATTCAATAGCTACAGTGAAACATTGGGCCTCTAGAATCTAAAAAAAGGAGCAAAACCCAACAAATATTTTAAACAATCTTTTACTTGCAATGACTCCATAACATGATTCCAACATACTCTCCCATCTAATGCCTATTGTTCTTTAAATTACATCATTAGATCTCAAATGATCAAATAGACCTTTATACAGCATGTTTAATGAAGTGAAAACCAAACGAAATGATATGAACCCACTAAATCCCACACTAAGCAAGTCTCCACCCCTTGGAGAAGAGAGATTGTTGTCATGAAGACCACCGGTTCGTAAACAACATTTTGAATGTGGTACCATCACCTTGTTACGTTATATTGACCAATTCATAAAATAGATACCAAGCATAGGAAAATTTATGTTTCAGGAGAACCAACATCCATCTTAGCCCCTATAACAGTCCTGTTAATCAAGCTTGCGGTTTTAAAAAAATTTGGGTGACTCCTCAAATAACATCTATTCATAGGTGAATTTGAGCAAAATGGACCAGCATGGGTGCAAGGAAACGAGTACGGTTTTCTAACGAAGAGGCTAACCCCACATTTGCGCACATGTGCACACGCAAACCAAACCAAACCAAACCAAACCAAACCAAACCAGTATCTCCCATCAGCAGGTGGGTCCACTGAGGGGGGGTGTACACAGACCTCTCCCAAAGGAGTAGAGCTGTTGTTTCAGAGACCCCACATGGACACAAACACATATACTTAAAGGTTTTCTGAATTTACCTGAAAAAGGCAACTGAACAAAAGCCCATTTTTCCCCATACAAACTATCAGGAAGATCCATTGGGAACGGGTTATCAAGTGCAAGGAGAGGCTTGGATCCTTTCTGGAAACCAGGATGTCGTGTATATACTGTTTCATACCGTTCTCCCAGCCAGAGAAGGAGAGACAAACACTGAAATAAGAAAAAAAATAACCTAATTTATGTTACATTTCAGCATATCAAGTTCTACATTGAAAAGAAATGGCAAAGTTGCAAACATAAATCATAAATGTAAGTTCAATTTTTAGAAATGGCAGTATAACCTCTACAATTAACTACAACAATGGTCATAAAAGAATTTAACTGCAACATATGCTATAATCAGAAGAAAAACATTTAAATAAACATGCCTCACTACGATGGCATTTATGGTATGGTAGCCGTACTTAAGCTAGATGATTCCTCCATTTCGACAAAAAAAAGAGAGAAAGAAGGAAAAAAGCTCCAAATTGACATGATGGTCAAATGGAATACTTTTATAATCCAAGATACATCCTTCATTATTAGAGCAAGCATTGATTATTACATTAAATGTTATAACAAAACACCAAAGATATAAAATGCTGGTTTAAGCCTGCCACAAAAGTAGTCTAGTTGACCTAAAAGGTTACATCGTACTCCCTCTGTCCCGAGAATGCAACACTTTCTATTTATGGTTTGTCCCAAAAATATGAAACAATTCGTTTTTGGAAAGATTTCAATCCAAAATGTACCTACTTGCCCATTAGCAGTCATCACAAGATATTGGTGAAATTGGTTGTGGCCCACAAGGTTTTTCAATTTTGGCTGATGAAGGGTACTTTATGTAATTGATTATGAGTCAAAAACTTGGATTAAAAATTACGTGCGAGTCAAGCATTGACCGGAGGGAGAACATCTTTTCTGGAGAGGAGGTAAGATATAATCCAGTTAAATTCATGAATATCTGGCATCTAGAGGTCGGGCTTAAGCTATTCTGGAGAGGCAGCCATTTGAGAGATATTAAAGCTGTAGTTAAGGGTACCAGTAGAATGCATATAAGCGATGTAGATGTAAGCAGAGGTACAATGCGCCACGTTTCTTTAAACATGAGACAATTATGGCAACTTGTAAAACCTTCTGGGCAATTTTATTGGTTACTGCTTATTATGAACGTTTCATATTTGAAAGATGGACATGAGATCCAGTTCAATGACGCCATAAAATATTTAATAACAACAAATAGACACTCTTCTAATCTACTTGTCTACAAGTCCATAATCTGTTACTCATTGGAGTTCACCCCAAACCGTTGTCTCTACACCTTCATTCAAGGAGTTGACAACTTCCATACACACAGACCTTCTGTTTCCTCAATATTTGCAGATTTCTTTTACATATTTGCTTGATTCTTTTCATTTTCTTTTTCTAACTGTTCTCTTCTACAAGACCATTGAATCTTGTTTCATATACAACCAACTTTTTTCTTTCCAGGAGCCAATAGAGTCCCCTCAAATGCAACAAAAGATGTCATTATCGATTTCATTATAATCTTTAGCACATAGACTAGTGAGTTTTTCTTCTCATCAAACATTTTCTTTATTTCATAGGTAGTAATGCCTTAATGTATCATGGTACTTAACAATTTCTACTCGCTAATATTCAGATTGACTTGTCGCAAACTAGGGGTGGGGTTCCTTTTGATTTCAGAAAGTCAAAGCATGTCTTCTTGAAACTCAAACTCTGTTCAGAGATGATTATAATTGTACCTCATACGTTATTTTTTCCTAATACTTCCTTCTCAGTTCGGAGTTATATGTTGGTATCAAAATTTATTCTTATCGATCTTCAAGTTAAAGTCTAACTCATCTGAAATTGAACATTTCAAGGATCAAGGGACTGACAGACCTCAGAAAATTATTACAGACATGTCTTTGAGGTATATTGTCATATCCTTGGAGCTGATTAACACACACTTAAGGCGCCCTATAACTGAATTTTCAAGACCCACGATCAACAAATTTGAGCCCAGCACTCAAAAAAATAAGCTTTATTCAACTGCAGATGCTTATGTCTCCATGTGCAAAAAGATTGACAACAATCACATGAGTAACGAAGACTTAGACCAAGACTACAGTAGAAAGTATCACATGAAACAACAAGTGTGGGGTGATGATGAGTTTAAGGCTACGACAAGTGAATTGATTACTTAAGATGTAGATTAGAAACTACGTCGCACACACCCGTTTGCTAGGAATCGGTTTTATACCAAGCTCTTTGCATGCTTTAGTAATGATTGTCTGCATTTGTGACCTACAACAATCATCAAATAAACAAATACTTCAGTCTACCAATATTAGAATTAGCCAATGACAATAAACAAGTAATCGAGCAATCAATAAATGACCATCAAAGAATCACCTGAAGAATCTAACTTTATCAGGTAAAGGCACATCCAATTCATCACAAATGGACACAATTGCATCCTTCAAAGTAACACTGTTAATAACATTGTTAGGGAAGTACTTGGTATACTGGAGGGACAAAGAGCTATCACAAGCTACAAGCTCCCAAATCTTCTTCCCTCTAATATCAAGAATAGGTCTAGAACAAAAATCCAATTCCCATTCTGTAATGCTCTCTGGATCAGTTTCGGGGTCGAGATAACTCAATTCTGCAGTTGGGTCATCATCAACATCATCGAGGGATTCGGCTCCTATTGATGATGATACTGAGCTCTCGGAAACAGAACTGGGTCGAAGAGTGAGGGTTTTAGGCTCGTTAGTTGGTAACTTTGTGAGGAAAAGAGATGAGTGAAATGGGATTTTGATGGGTTTTGGTGTGAGCTCAGAAAACTGGATGTTTGGGTGTCTGATTCTTGTGGTGTTAATGCTGAGACTAGCAATCCCAATGCCGAGACCAGTCATGGACGAAAATGGTCGAGTGATTAATTGTGCAGCGAGTTCATCTGGAAATGGGAGTTGGTTATCGGCCACAAATACCCCTGGTCGGATAAGAACATCAATCTACAACAAATACCGGACAAATATATTCTAAAGGGGTTTTCTATACTCAGTTTTGAGGAATATTTACAAGAATAATATTTAGATAAGTTCTCCTAATATTTTGTAAGGCTTTGTTTAATTATTAATGAATAAGGGGTTGTTTGTTTAGTTATTAATAGTTTAATTAAGAGTCGACCTCTTAATTACTAAAACTCGTTAAGAATTTAATCTTGTTTGACAAAAAAAAGGGGAAAATTACATTAAAATAGAACCAACTTTCACCTGATTCTTATTTTGGGGAATCAACTTTCAAAATCGTTATTTTGTGGAACCAACTTGCATCTGATTCCTATTTTGGGGAACCAACTTGCAAAATAATTATATAAAAATAACTAAAATTCGTTTTTAAAAAAATTAATGCAATAAAATCTATTTTTCATTTCAAATCTCATTTTTTTTAAATTCAGATATCAAAATGAAGATTTTTTTAAACAAAAATTCCAAATTACCACCATAAAAAATGTTTTTTACTAATGCAAAAAAAATCAATTGATGTAATAAAAAATAAATATTAAATTTCACATTCAAGATTTTTATATCTATTAAATATCACATTCAAGATTTTTATATCTATTAAAAATCTTGAATGTGATATTTAATATTTTTTTTATTGCATCAATTAATTTTTTTTTTATTAAATTGATTTTTTTTTCATTAGTAGAAAACAATATTTATTGTGTTAATTTGGATTTTTTTAAAAATCTTCAATTTGATATCTGAATTTTAAAAAAACCGAGATTTGAAATGAAAAATAGATTTTATTGCATTAATTTTTGAAAAAAAACGAATTTTAATTATTTTTTATAATTATTTTGCAAGTTGGTTACCCAAAATAGAAATCAGGTTCAAGTTGGTTCCCCAAAATGACGATTTTGAAAGTTGGTTCCCCAAAATAGGAATCAAGTGCAAGTTAGTTCCCCAAAATAGGAATCAGGTGTAAGTTGGTTCCCCAAATGNAATCAAGTGCAAGTTAGTTCCCCAAAATAGGAATCAGGTGTAAGTTGGTTCCCCAAATGACGATTTTGAAAGTTGGTTCCCCAAAATAGGAATCAGGTGAAAGTTGGTTCTATTTTGGTGCAATTTTCCCGAAAAAAATGTTTCTCTTAATAGTTTTAAAATCTACAAATGATTTTATATCTTGGGCCCCTAAACAATTCAGAGCCCAGATTTTATTCTAAACAATTACCAGACAACTATATTTCAGTTTGTACAATATCATAAGACGCTTTTAATCATTCTGACTACTTAATCATCTTTCACCAAACATGTTTAGCAACTGCCAAACAACCCCTTAATGAAGTGGTTCAATACAGCCTTGATATTGTCTTGTATCCTAGTGTTTTTAAGACAAAAAAAAGTCCATAAAATACAAAAGTGAGATAGAAAAGATGGAAATTTTTATCTACACTAAAAGTGCACTCGTGTCGTTTTGCCATTTCCTAGAGATTTAAGGATCGGTTCGTTGTAATTTTTAGACAGAGACTTCATAGAATTTGTATGTATGTCCTCAACAGTGGAGATCTGTTTTAAAGGTCCGAAAGTCGTTTTTTTTTCTGTTTGAGATAGAGTAGTTTTTGTATGTTAAACCCATAATCAAGTTATATGAACAAAGGCTCCAAAGTTCATTAATAGAGAAATCATCTTGGCATTGATATTGAAAGAGAGAATTACAAGTTGATACACATTACAATGAAAGAGCTTGTTTTTTTAAAACAAACTAGCTGAAAAGTATTTATACCCAAGAGTATTTACAAGATAAGCCCCTACATCTTGATTACAGTTACAATTTAAACCCCAACATTCTCTCCTTGTAATCAAGTTGCAATCTCTGTACAAACCCTTTTCTTTTCTTTTTAAGTCCAAAATAAGTTTCAAATCTTTTGATAACATTTCTAAACTTTAGTCGATCTTTAATACAACCTAAAGCTTTGGTAATCAACTCTTTGTCTTTCTCATCCATCTTTACCTTCTCTCTCTTATCAACATCAAACTTGTTCTTTAATTTCATCTTGATCATTTGAAAAACCCCGCCTGAGATTTACAAGTATCCTCCAAGGTTTGAACCTTTTCAGATAAAACTGACAGTGTCTTTTGAAGAGAATTTGAAGTTGATTTGATAAGATCTCTAACGCTCAAGAAATTCCTTCTGACCTCATCCTTAAATAATAAAATCTATATTCTAGTCAAGATATATGATGAAGCTTCAGACTGAGATCTCAAAATATCAATTGTTGGTCACAGCTGGGTCTACAATAGTTTATAGGTAACAACTTTGTAGAAGGGGGAGGGGTGATGAATACAAACATAGAAACTTTCACCTTTAAATATTATACATTGATTAAGAAGATTAATACAAATTTTATAGATTGTTTGCGAAAGAGATAAGATACATATCCTATCTAAACAATCCAAGATACACACAAGATTACAAATAGCAATAACAAAAGATTTGCTACAAGAAATAAGGTAAGAGTAAATGTGCTCTTCACTTGTTAAAGTGGGTTTTTCTCTTAGATAGAGAGTAGTGAGAGAAATAACTTCTTGAGTAAGTTCTTAGTGAGGAAGATGATAACTGAGAGAAGAACCACTCAGCTATTTATACGTATTGCATTGCAATTCAGAAGCTACAGGGCATGTATCAAACTTTTGGAGGAAAGCTTGTCCATTGTTCATATATGCCAGATTTTTGGCCATATGTGAGCAGTCTTCTTTCATAGAGTAGGTAAGCATGTGTAGAGTCAAAGGAGTGGCTCCGTACTATATTATACTTAGAAAGGTAGGGGTTTGTCCTTTGTGTTTGGAAGGACAATACAAAAACAATATTTCTCGACAAGATACATTTGATCGTTGAATACTAGGATGACGCTGAAAGGCCTCATCAGTGCTCGCTGAATCTTGTGCAGACTTCATACATATGTAGACGAGCTTGTTATCACTGAATACCGCTTCAGATCATGAACTTGCTGGTCTCTAATATTCGGCTTCTATCTTCGACCTGAATGATCTATGGTGTGAGTTTTGTATTCTTGAAGTATAATAGTCTTTGAACGACTACAATAAACGTTCAGCGATCACTGAACAGACTCAGTGAAGATCGCTGAAACTGAACGACATACTACTTCGATAGATAAAAAGGATCATTATCAAATCAATGAGAGAGAGGATCAACAATCTCCCCTTATTTGATTGTGATAACCGGGTCTTGGTTATAACCTGAGGTAATCATTATGTGATTATTTGATATATGATTATGTGAATGCATGAAAAATTGTTATATTTGATCATGTGAGTATGTGTAATTTTTATGCATGAAAGATATATGCATAATATGAATGCATGCATGAGATTGTATGTAAGTGAGTGTGCATGATTATATTTGTATGCATGGATTAAGTAGGTATACATGCATGCCTAATTATTATGGAGGGCATGCACATGAGTCTTTTAGCCGCCTTTCCACTTTTGGAAAGGGGTATAAAAGGTGGTAAAGGCTCCAAAGGAAGGGTTTTGTTTTCCTGGCCTTTGCGATAAAACTTGAGAGAGAGTTTTGTACGGATTACTTGTTTTGATTTGGAATCTGAAGTTGATTTGCATTTGCTAAATTACATAAGGTGAGTGGTTTTAATATTTCAAAGTATATGAATCTCATCTTCAATATTTTGAATTCTGTTTTTGTTTTGAAAACATATTGATCGGATTAGAGGCATATCTGGTCAAAGTATTGACCGGATAGTGTGTTAGAAAGATTTTGAAACTATGAAACCAGTCACAGTTTTGACCAGAGAAGTAGGGGTCCAGCTAGCGTGCCGTCCGGATACGGCCTAGTCTGGTTAGCGTGCCGTCCGGATACGGCCTAGTCTGGTTAGCGTGCCGTCCGGATACGGTCTAATCCGGTTAACGAGCCATTCGGAAATGTCTTAATCCGGCTAGCGTGCCGTACGGACACGTACCAATCCGGCTATAAGGCCGTTCGGGTTCTTTAACTAGACTTGTGTTATAAAGAGTTTAAGTATATGTATTGACAGGATTCAATTATGATCAATGTTTTTGGGAAGGTATTGTCCGGATATGTAATCCAGCCAAGGCATGACCGAATATGAAGTCCGGCTAAGTTTTTTTGTTGATTGGATTATTCGGAGTTGACCAGATGTGAATCCGGCTAAAACAATTTTGATGGGCGGATAAGTAATGAATATTTTATTCAAAGGTGGATTATGTAATGGTATATGGTTCTTTCTATAATGATAAAGAAAGAGTATTTAATGTTTGTTTTTGAAACGGATTCTAGTTAAAACTATAGATGATGTTCCATCAGAATGTTTATGACTTCGGTCTATCCTGATTGGGAATAATCTGTAAATTTTGATGAGGAAATAAGTGTGGCATATCAAGGAGAGGTGTACTTTGGGATAAGGGTAGCATATCAAGGAAAGGTGTACCTTTGGATATAAAGGTGGCATTTGTGTGTGCACTATTAACATAACTCTTACTATTATATCCTTTAAGATTACGATGTTTCTGAGTCCTTATTTCTTTGTGATTTAAAGATTCAGGAACATGGTTCTTATTGGAAATGGTAGTAAAGTTGTTATTGAGGAGAAGATAATCGACTTTTGACCAAAGGCTTGAATAACTATGTTTCTATTGAAAACGTTTAGAGATGAGTTATGAGGAACCTGAAAGGTTCTATCCTGTTTTACTTAAAATGTTATTTGTAAAGTCAGAGATTGGCTTTGGGAATCAGCAGGGCACTGGTAATTGTGAATTATATGATTATGTATCTGTTTAAATAAAAAGTTGATTTTAAATAAAGATTTTGGTTATCTTCACCCTGTAATTACATGGAAAAAGGGATCTCAATAGACCTTTTGATCTAACCCTCATTTTGTATTTCTAATATGTATTGCAGGAACCACTG